AGCCGAGGATAACATATTGCTTAGGATTGAATATTCAAGGTTCACAGCTTCAGATCCGAAACCATAATTAACCGTCGCAAGTGGGTAGCTTTCTGGACCAAACAACGTACTGGGATCCACAATATTATCTAAAAATAAAATTAAAAGAATTTATAAGAACAATTAATGGCCCAAAAAAACAACAATGAATTGTACCCTCATCTCAAGACTTTGCCGTACAACTCAAATATGAGTCTCATACAATCAAATTATTTAATCTGAACAGATAAATTTGATCCTTCGCATCTTGTAATATTCTGATTCTCCAATTTGTATTTGTATGATCATCCTGGAATATTACAATAATTGAATATACTCACTAGGAGTTGATTGAAATCCATTGTGCATAAAAACCGTCTGATTGGTTTGTGGTGGAGCTATAAACAGTGATTGACCAAGATTATGTATATAGTGAGAACGGTGTTGTCGAGAATAGAATAATTGTTGATAATTATAATCATCGGCAAAATGTGATGATAATGGAGATATTGGAGAAGTTGGAATAGGACGTCCCAATGATTTCAGGTAAACCGATTCATCAACAGTTTTAGGCTTTGGTTTTTTATTTATTATTTTGGAAATGATCAATTTAAAATATTAATAACGGTCTTGACTGAAATTGGTTAGGAAAAAAAAAGTTTAACATACCAGAACCAGTTGTCGATTATTATTAATAAACGAAGACGGTACAGGATTTTCGTGATAAGTGGAAAATGGTCCGGGATGAGTTTGTTGCAAAGGCGTTGGTGGGTATGTAAGGATAGGAGTAGGTGGAGATTGATATTTGGTTTGTTGTTCAATAGGAGTCGGTGTAGAGTTATTGTAATAAAATTTATGATCGATTATTTCATACACTAGTGGTTAGTAAAAGTGAATATCGGTTGGTTGAAAAACTTGCAAAATCTCCATTAACCACCACACTTGACAAATTAATAAAGTGCTTTTTCCATTATAATTCTTTGATCAAAAATACCAAATAATTATACGATCAACAAATATCGGAAATTGATTATATTGTATATTGGTCGCGCACCATCATAATGTGAATCTTGCAAGTACTTTGCCTTTTTGCGAATACCGTCAGTACATGAGGCTGCTAGATCTCGTTTAATACATCGCTGACAGGGTCTAGCTGTTTATGAAACAAGGGTAAAATGAAATAAACAAATGCTTTGATATTTAGATTAATATGTATGTGTATAAAATAGTTGTAACATACAATCGTCACAAGTCAAATGGGCCTTTTGGCAATGGAAACAAGCCCTTGTGGCTTTTTTCCTTCGCATTGAAGTACCCGTATCATTATGTTCGGAGCTCGAGGTTTGTGTACTTTCTGACATCGTCTTTTCCTATCAAAATATATTGATTCTTTCTAAAAGGTTCTGTACAACAGTTTTTGTAAAGACAGAATTTATAAAAAAAAAATTGCAAAAAGCAAAACATACAAAAAAAATACGTAATCCAGATGCACACACGTATCTTATATTGAATTATTGTACTACTAATGTACTACCACAAAATCACACATATATAAAGGCTAGATCACAGGAATCATGATAGAATTAAACATGGCAGGTTCGTTAAATTCCTCTTGTGCATTTCCGCAAAAGTCTACTTTACACTGATTTGCTGCATGCTAATTTTTAAAAAGTTGATGGGTATCGTATAATTCTTGACAACGATCTTGATGAATGGTCAGATGCTGAAGCGGTTGAAGAAACGAATGAGAGTGGACAGGGGGGGGGAAACGTCAACAAGACAAAATTCAAGTAAATCAGTGAAGGTGGATTTAGAATACCAAAATGAACTAAGGAAAATTATCCTTAGCATACAAAATGATCTTAGTATATCGCAGGATGAAAAGGCGAAGAAAGTTCAAGTAACTAATATTTACAGTTTCATGAATAACCTGATCTTTTTTTATTTAGAAAATCTTAGATTCCCTTCACATTTTTTTAGGAATTGATGACATTTAACTGGCGACAAAATGAAAAAAAGCCAACAGACATTGACAATGAATCTGTTGATGATCTCAAACCAACATATACTGTAAGCTTTAGTTTTAGTACATATCTATAAAACTATGAAATAATTAATTCTTATAATCGACATTTAGTATGAAAACTCACAAAAATTTGGGTGTAAACACTATCAAAGAGGATCAAAATTGCAAGCAGAATGCTGTAAAAGACTGTTTACATGTAGATTTTGCCACGATGAAAAATGTGATCATAAAATTGACAGGCAAGTTTAGAAATTTCCCGAATGTTAACTATTTTCAACAACTCTTAAACTGATATTATCTATATTATTACTAGACATGCCACCAAAAATATGATGTGCATGTATTGTCAGACCATTCAACCGGCCAGCAAATCTTGCAATAATTGCAAACGAGAATTAGCACGGTATTACTGTGATAAATGTAAATTCTGGGATGATCATCCGCTTAGAGACATTTATCATTGTGATCATTGCGGAATTTGTCGGCAGGGACGGGGTCTAGGTAAAGATTTTTACCATTGCGACGTATGCGATTGTTGCTTGCAGATCCACCTGAAAGGTATGCATAAGTGTATTGAAAAGAACCTGGATCGCGACTGCATGATCTGTGGGGAATATCTATTTTCATCAACAATGAATCCTCATCTGATGGTAAGTATTACTTTATTTAGAAACATACTTGGTTAAAATTAATTGGATCATTTATATATTAGCTATGCGGTCATAGTTTGCATAAAGAGTGTTTCGAAGAATACAGCAAGACCGCATACCAATGTCCAACGTGCTGTAAGTCTATTGCAAACATGGAGATTTATTTTCGACGGATCGATGCCATTGTTGCTCAACAAAAAATGCCACCCGAATATGAGCACTTCGTTGCGCACATATTATGCAACGACTGCGAAATACGTAGTACTGTTAGTTATCACTTCTCATACCACAAATGTCCTGAATGCCGAGGATACAATACCAAAGTCTTGGAAATAAAGTCAGGACTGCCAGAAAATAATCCACCCAAGAGTGAAGGATCAAGCAGCTTTACAGTTAATAGCGGGTCATCTAATAGTTCACAAGCACAACAGTCAAGTGTTACGGAAGTCACTGGTATGATGCAGCGTGGAGAAGGGTCATCTGATAGGGAATACGTGACAGAACACCAGACAAGACACCCCATGAATTCAATAGAATCAAATAATGATGCTTAATACGAAGGAAAATTCATGTGACTACATTAAGGTAGTATTTGAAGATGTATGTTGTCAAGGACAAATATTTTATCGTACAGAAAGAGGGCATACTTAGATTGATTAGTGTAGAATACTAGCTTATATTTATATGATCCTGAATTATGGGATTATACTTCAAGATTGGTGTGGCAAGAAGTTAGGGACACAGTTATCATCAAAATAATATGCTCATTAGTAAATACTGTACAATATATATATATATGTGTATTTCTTTATTAAAATTTTACAGCTCAACAAAATAAACTAAGTGATTTACTTTGTAAAAATTCGAAGTGTAAATCATATGGTTAGAATGGAAGTTGCGACTGTTATATGGAAGAGTGTAAACTGCCTCGAAGATAAAAATCGTGCTTTTACCAACGCGAACTACAGTCGATCTAGTCGATCTTTATAACAAACTGGCAATTATTATAGTAAAAAATGTCGGGCATAAGAACCTATTTACCGTAGTGCACTGATCAAAGTATCCGGGGCTAATACAATCTAATCAAGAAATAACTTATAAGGTACCAGCAGAAATCAATGTGTAGTGGTGTGAAATACCATGCAAAGTACCGGGTATTATCCAAAAAAATATGCCATGTAAAATACCTGGTATTTTAATTGGGGGTACTGAAAATGGGAAATACTTTGGTCAGTGCACTACGGTAATATACAGTTTTTAAAATTTTGGGCGTATTTTTTGAGATTTTAGTATACAGTAATCGTTAATATAGGTGAATTTAAAAATAATAATAATAATAAAGCATAGTTAATGTGGTTCAATATTTTATACAATTCTATGCAATAATATTTGTATAATACTTATATTTGTATAATACTTTTATTGTAATATAAATAATATTTTGTTGACCAATAAATATTTTTATATACCGTGTGTGTAGCTAAATTATATATATATATTTTTTGGTTTTTTTTTAATACACAGTATAACGGACGGACCATCGATATAACGGATATTGCTTAATACGGAGAATTATAATGGAACCAAATTATGATTTACTATAATATCTTCTAGATTATGAGATTTTAATATTACGGAACTTTTGATATAACGAGCAAAGGACCGGAACTATGCCCTCCGGTATATCGAGAGCTACTGTGTAATAAATAATTTTATAGCGGGTTTACTAAAGTGCACTATTGGTGATGAACACCTAAGTAAAAATGTTCAGGTTCTTCAAAATCTTATTTTAACTAAAGTTTAGACCTTTATATCTAAACTTTTATCTTATCCTGTACTTTACAGAACTAGCTAAAAAATTTTAATAATCAAAAGATAATCTTAAGATATTAATTTAATAAATCTACTCTAAACTATAACAAACTATCAAAATATATTGTTTAAAAAATAATTTTTAAATATATTTATATGTATAAAACAAATCTAATTAAGAAATATTATGTAAAAATAAACATAAATAGCTTATAAATATAATAAACAATAATTATTGATCTTATCAAATTATGAAATAATTTTTATCTATTTACTAAGTTTATGCAAATATAATAAACTTAAATAAGAATATTGTATAAAATAATTTGAATAATATTTAAATATTTTAATTATATACAAATTTATGAAGTATTTACAGAAAATAAGAAGATATAATAGAAGTATTTAAATAATTTTTTTATAAAATTAGTTTATATTTTTTTTACTTTAATGATCCTATTTTTATTTTTTAAATTAGTAACAATATATAGTAAGAATTTAGTTAGATAAATCTATTATCTATCAATTAATTGCTTTTTTTTTTTTTTATATTTAGTGATTTTGTTTTTATTATTTTATTAGAAGTATCAGAAAATTTTGTTAATAAATGAAACTGATTTTCTATATTATATTTCTATATAAATAAAGACTCACTCAACCTTGTAGTCTAAGTATAATACTATCTAGCAGTAATTTGTTTATATTAGATCTTTAATATCTGAGAATTTAATTTTTTAATTATTAACTAGAACAGCTATATTATTTTATTAAGAAGCCAAATCAAAGAATCAACAATAATAATCACTGCCAAATAGTGTTCTGAAGTTCAGTTTAGTTCAATTTAGGTTCAGGTTCA